CATAGCAGCTGATGAAATAGCAGCAGCTAATTGTGCTAAAAGGCAAAAAAAAATGTCAGATGTACACCAATTCGCAATTCCATCCCCAGTTAGAGCGCAAAGCAGAAGGATGATCAGAAAAACAAGAATCCAGCATAAAGCGAGCAGACTTACCCGGTGACCAGCCTGGATGTTTGGAGACAGGGACAGAGAGGTGGAGGTGGGAGGTGAGGTGAGTGGAGGGGGAAAGTAGGGAAGAGAGGAGGAGGTGCAAGTGTACAACAACACAGGACGTGTTCAAAGATTGGGGTAAAAAAAATAAACAGAAGAAAAGTTGGAACAAATTAAAAAGTGAATGGATTAAGTCAGCAGATTAATTAATGAATAATTCAAAGACAAATAAATGAAAAATCAAAAACAAAATGGCAAAGTGATCCAGACATCTGTTAATAGCTGACAGTTAGTGATCATGCTAAGCTGAAATAAACATAGGAACCTGGGTGTAAGCCGAGGCAAAATTATGTGCTGAAGCTAATCTGATCGTTTGCTGAGGTTTAGTACAAATAATCATGCAGACACATTTAAAAAAAAATTAAACTCAATAAATAAACAGAGCCAGCCCAAGGCACAACAGATGTCAAACTTCAAATTGCTGTTTTATTTTATTCAAGATGTTGCTAGTCCATTATTTATTTCTGCCGATTATGTACGTTTAATTCATATTGAGACTTCAAAGTAGTTTGGTGAATAAATGATTATGTTCCTCATTGTAAAACAACTAATCAAACATCAAAACATAAAATAAAAGTACATGGTGCAGAACATTCCCGGGATCTTTCCTTAAAGCATCTGATAAAAAAACTATTCCCCCCCACTTTATTCCATTTATTAAAGGAAAAGTCCAGTCAGCAAGGAATAGTAAATGGATCATTATCTATACCAAAAACTAATAGGCTCATGGCGATTTCATTAATTTAGAGTTAATCAGTAACGAAATAAAAGTAATAATTTTCGTTGCGATCTCTCAGTCCGGGACCTGACATTTTTTCCCCAAATATAGTAACACCTCATTCCTGACATCTTCCGGCAGTGACGTCACGGTGTAGCCTAGTAAACTAGCCCCAGCGGCCAAAATCATTTTTGCCTGCAAGCGGCCTAGCCTTGATCAATGCCCCAGGCCCTAGAACTGGCGGGCCAATCACAACTCAGAGATTTTTTTTTTTTTTTTTGGATGCAAAGCGGGCGGGGCTTTGAGGGCGTGATGACAAAGCTGAACAATGCAGGAGAAAGCGCAACAAGGAAGATGGCAACAATTATTGAACTCTTTTAACTCCCCTTTGGAATCAGTTTCGGAAGGATTAGATTTGGGATTTTTGTTGAAGCGTGAGCAGGAAGAGGCTCTATGCTCATTCATTTGTAAGAAGGACATATTCACCGTTTTATCAACAGTCTGTTTGATTACACTCCCCCACCAGCTTCCTGTCGCACTTCCTACGTCACAGTCAGTTGAGCTCATTGGTCAGAGCGTTGGCCAATAGGCATAGACATGGTTTGAAAAACAACAGGTTGTTCTCATCAGCAATCTTCCGATTCATCGGGGCCAGACTAAATTACACATTTAATCTCACATTTAGTCTAGTTTATCAGGCTAGTCACAGTGCGGTAAGCCTAGCACCATTCTCCCCACTTTACAAGCAAATTCAATGGGAACTACTAGACACATCTACAATCAACAATTATTTTAGATTTCCAGAGGACTTTATCATTATAATTCACCAGAGCTATAGGTAAACTGACAATGCCCACGTGCATGGCAGTTAGATGTTGTAATACATTGGCTAAAAGCATTAGTTATTTCATCTTTGTGATACATGATCCTCCACCACGGGTTCGTCATTGGATTGCCAACTTGAAGAGGGAGGATTTGCCATCGAACTTCTGGCCAGAGGAAAAAACACGTAATATGTGGCAAACTTTTCAAAAAAGAATATTTTCAAGATGACTTAGATAATAGCGTGTTGTGACAAACACCAAATACAGCACTGGGACTTGATCAGCAGCCGATACTGCAACGTGACGTCACAAACCAGTAGGTGGCAGTAGTGTTCTTTGACAAACATGGATGTGTCCAGTAAAGTACATTCAAATTAAATTACTCTTAATTAAAACACTTATCATTAATGAAAAAGTATTTAATAATCTCATATTTAAACTACCTTTAAAAAGTGTGAATCCTGACTATAAGCGGACTTTTCCTTTAAGCCTCAGCAGCTAGAGCATAAAGAAGGCCTATTGGAGTTCCAGTGTTTAATATAGTACAGCCTGAGAAATAACAATTTGTTTAATAAATTATGTGAATTGAATATTTTGGGATATGGAAGAAAAAATTCATAATAAATGCACAAGTAATCAAGAATTTACATTTTAAAGGCAAGATTATTGAGGCAGCATCATTGGAAGCTGATGCCACAAAATGAAGCTTTGCTTTAAGCTCCTGGGCTGGCTCTGTTAAAAAGTGAAAACAATTACAGCCTGAAAATGAAAAGGAATCATGAATGAATGATGGAGGAGTTCATAAATAAAACAGGAAGACACCTTCCGTAGGTTATATGTCTACTATTGGCAAGGTACAGTATGTGTTCACATGCTAGAAGCAACAAAATGCAGCCTTTAGCTGGCTAGCCGTTTTAGCGCTAATCTACTTGGTTAAAAATATAGAGAAAAACTGCTGCGATAAAAAAAAAAATACAGCAAGTATATCTAAATAAGAAGGCATCGTGCAAATAAACTGTTTGTAAATGGATAACTAAAACTGGACCATTAGATTTCTACTGTACAAAAAACTCCAGATGTCATGTGATCGTCGATCCATCTTTTAATCGAGCTAAAGTAGAAGTATCCTAAAACTAAACGTTAGAATGACGCAAGGACGCAACTTCACCCTCTGTACTTTGAAAAGGGCTTTACTATAATAAACCAAGGGAAGAGTAGGCCCACTGAATGACGGAAATGCTGCTCCTTTCGACATTTCATACTTACCATCTTGTCTGTTGCTGTTTAGTTGCTAGTCCGGTTGCGGAAGCGCCTACGCACGTTACGTAAGTAGACGTAGGAGCGTCGCGGAAGTGGACTTAATAATTCCGCCATATTGTGAGTGGCATTTCTGTACGCATCATTTCGGGCTCTATCCTGAAGGTATGATGCATACATAAAACAACAATGGGTTGGTTTAGATTCTAAATTGAAAATTATTTTTTTTTAAAGCCAGACTTTAATGTTTTCTATTAAATACTATTAAATCCTAAAATGCACACAAAACATATTAATCTGTTCCCAACTAAAAATTGAGGTCCTCAACAGGGGGTCCACCACCCCTAGGGGGGTCAACGGAGGCACTGTATGGGGGGTCGCAATAGTTTAAGCTGATTAGACTTTATATATATATATATATATATATATATATATATATATATATATATATATATATATATATATATATATATATATATATATATATATATATATATATATATATATATATATATATATACATGATAGATAGATAGATAGATAGATAGATAGATAGATAGATAGATAGATAGATAGATAGATAGATGTTTGTCAGTGTGTTTGTCTTTTCTCCTGAGTATACTTGTTTATTGTGACATCCCTTATTGCATATTTGTTTATTTCTTTATTTATTTGTCTATTTTATACACAAATAAAAAGAAAGGGTTGGTTTAGATTCTGTGTCTGAGTTCAGAGTATTTATTGAATAGCTTGGTGGTAAAACAGGGTCAATCCTTTGTCCAGTTTTCATGAACCATATTCAGTATATCTAAATATTGTTTAAAATATATATACAGTTACTTATTTTCTAAATGAATCAAATTTTACTTCTGTTTTCAAACCTATACGTCTGTTTTATAAAAACAGTTTGTATTTGAATATTAACATAGACCCATTAAAAAGGATTTGAGTAAATTAAGGGCATGGTGAAAGATGTTTCTTACCTGATTACATTTCATTTCCAAAAAGGTATTTTTAATCTCACAACCAATCATATTGTAATCAACTAAATATAGCTGTATATGACATTAAAATTATATGTCATTAACACCTAGCAAACCCGATTAACTGAATTCAGCGAGACAGAATAGTCTCTAAGGTGTTTTTGGACCACATTTGGTAATTAATAAATAAATAAAATGTACTATTTGCAATAAATTTATCCTCCATAATAGAGAATATTCATTTTTGTCTGTGAAGTGTAACACTTCTTGTTCTTCTCATATATTTACTTCGCATAATTTCTTCTTTTCTTTTCTTTTTTTTTTTTTTTGATTCATTAATACATTCTTAAAAGTATTTATCTATTTGATTTTAAATAAAAATGCTCTTCTTAAAGCAGATATTGTTTAGAGTTTCTTTTTTGTTTTTTCTGGGTAGTCCTCTGCTGCTTTGCTGCTGTTTCAGGAATGAATACATAGAAATCAGTGGTGGGCACCCCAGCACAAGATGGCGCCGATTTTGACGAACGCTTGCTAGCATGGTGACTAATACAGACGACATCTACTTGTTTAACATCTATGTAAACACCAAACGGATGACAAACGCAATTAAGCTAGATACTACTTCCTCTTATCCTTTCAAAATAAATCCCACGCAAATCGTACAAGTGCCGTTCAGATTGATGATCACAACTCCAGCTTAATTTTACCTTTTCTTATTTTATTAATAGTTTGAAAAACTTCTATCTCTGTTTACCTATCTTAGTACTCTGATGTTTTTGATGATATCAAATATAGACCAAATGCGTCAGAGGTATATGTATATATTTATTTTTTAGTAGGCTTTTACTGCGAAGAAAAAATACCGGATGATGCTAAATCCATTTCGACTATTAACGTTTGTCGGTTGAAAAAAAAATCGACTGTCGACATAAGAGGCGAAGCTGCATGTCGCAGAACATTCGAGAGGTATGATGAATATATTACCGTCTACCAATCTTCTCTATTAGTCCGTTTTTAGATTTGATTTTATTGCGTACAATGCTACTTAAACACTGAAGCTAGCTACACGGCGTCGTGAGCGGTGGGTTAATCCCAGTTATCTGCTCTGAATGGCGTCGACGTCGTTCGGCTAACAGCGTTAGCTTTAGCTGCGTGGCGTCAGTTGGCCTTTCGTTTGGGTAACGAGTGTATTTCGGTAAGCGATAACGGACTCCGACATTACCGGCTGAAAAAATCCTGCTGTATTAACTTATTGTTAAAGACGTATATTATTTTGTATTTTATAGACTTTACTAAATTATTACGTTAGCCTTAACCCATGTGTTGTCTGAAACCATGGGCTCCGACTAGACTACATTTTTCCACTGCTCCCTTTATTTAAAATAAAGAACCATTCTTAGTCAGATGAACTATAGAAATGTTTAATGAATAATATTGAGAAGACAATGTAGCTCATTGTCGCAGCTGCTGTCACTTCAGTCCGCTGTTAATGGTCATTGGTTGTTTTCTCTCATAAAAGGTTCCCGGACACCGAGGACGTTCCAGAAAGCTCCCCTCTGTCTCTGAACCAGCACCGTTTGGACGCCTCAGGGTGTTTAAGCTTTGAAAAAACTATATATCTCAGATTCCCTGCTGCCGCTATCGATACAGCACCAGCTATCGACCACGGTTCACTGCGGCATTTGGACGATCAGCGTTGTGTTTATGTCTTTGTTTTGCAGAAACGGTAAGTTGTGGGCTCGACTTTAACTATTTGTAGTTTTGTGTAAGTTAATCTCTACGGTTTTTATCACAGTGCCATATATGATTAGCTTTTAATGAAATATTGAGCAATGCTCCCGCTCCTCTCCTCCACTTTTCAAAATGGCTTCTCCTGGTCTCGTCACTCGTGTGCAGTGACTTTATGACGCACTCTGCACCAAGACGCCAGCTTGGCTAGCTGCTAGCCCTCATTGGAAATGTTTGATCTCTGATTTTTGGGAAACCACTTGACTTTAACGGGAGGAATTTGATTTTTTTTCTCCACTTAAGAATAGTGAGTTGTCAGGTTGAAACCAGTTCCGACTGATCTCCGCTGATGCTATCAGTGGAGCTATGCTTGTCTGCCAGCTGACAGGCCTCGTGTTTTTGACCTATTAAAGCAGAAGGCCTGACATGTCAAACGCAAAGAGGCCCCAACATTAAAAAACAAAAGGCTTACACAAATCCATTATTGTTGTCACAAAGAGGGGTTTAGGCTGAATGTCACAAGGGTTTGGTTTACTTTTTCATTTAAAATGCCTGCCTTTGTTACGGTTTTCTATTTGTTTTTTTACATTTATTGTGACGTTTTAATCTTCATTCTGTAAAAAATTATTTTCATGTTCTCTTAAGCAATCTTTCTTCAAGGATTTAATAATTTTTTGTTTGCATATAGCTACAAAACATTCATCATACAGGTTTAAGTTTTTTAATTAAGGCCTTAATTGGCATTAAAATGAATTAAATGTGATTATCGTGGCATTTGAAATGTAAAAAAAAAACTAAACTGTTTCTAAAAACAATTTCATCAGATATAACGTGTTTTCGTGGAACTGCTTCGGGTTGATCGTAAAGCTGTATGTTAGGAAAAGAAGCTTGAAGAGGAGAAAAAGCTGGAGAATTGGGGGGGAAATTTATTTATATATATATATATATATATTATATGAGTCATGTGTACTTGTTGATGGCATCTAAATAATGTCTGAGAGCATTAAAAAGCATTAGTTACTCATTCCTGTATAAACCCTGATCATAGATTGATTTATGAAGAAAATAAACTAAACTGTTACATTTCCTGAAATATAGTTTTAAGTGTTTGTATTGAGCTTAGGGAGTTATAACTACTGGTTTCTTTACATTTTCTTAGATGGCGTTGGTAGAAAATAAATCCTAGGAGCTGCCTTTCTCTACTAGATGAACTGATTAATCCAGGTGTGCCTGACCTCAACCATGAAGGCATTGGCCAGACACACCTGGATTAATCAGTTCACCCTGTAATGAAAGACAGACTGCCTTAGCTTCAGGAAATGGTAGTTGGAGATGTGCTTAGAGCCATTATGGATTATTTGGTAGAGAAAAAACTAAGAATCTGGAGCCCAAGTGGAAAAAAACCCATTAATAATTAGGGGTAACTACATACTTCTAGATTTAATTCAATTAAACATTAAATTCTTAAGTTTTAAAGTCTCCAACCCCCACCCCACACACACACACACACACACACTGTTCTTTATAAAATTGATGACAAATAATGAAATCCTTTTTTTTTTTTTTTTTTTTTTTTTTTGATCTTCCTAAAAATAGACCTTGATGTATTAAGATGAGCACTTATGTCATTTTTGTTTTAAACTGCTCCTTATGAGCTTGTTTGCACCAAAACCGAATGTAATTCAAACTATGCCTTTTACTGCTTCCTTCATATGTTGATTGTTCAGTCAGGTTATTTAGAGCAGAGGACTGGTTATCTTTATAAAATATTTATGCCTGTTCCTCTCTTCTTTCAGAGCTGTTGCGCAGCCGTTGGAACCTGTGTGGTGGAAATCTAGCCTTCAAGCAAGGAGCTTGCGGCCATAGCGGCACGACATTTTTCATGTCAGAGAACGAGCACGCTTGCAGTCGTTTATGTCATCCCCTCTTTTCCAGACAGAAGATCCCGAAAAATCCCCAACCAAGATCCTTTTATCTTACTGATAGTACAAACATCCAGCCAAAATGTCTGTCAATGTCAACCGCAGTGTGTCAGACCAGTTCTATCGCTACAAAATGCCCCGTCTGATTGCCAAGGTATTCATCAGTTTATCCTGATTTTAGCATACAGCTGTTCCAAAGCCACTACAGAAATATTGCAGCTGTGCTGTTAATTCCAGTAAAAAAAAATTATTCGTCTTTCCTGTTCTGTTTCTTTTTTTGTTTTAAGGTTGAAGGCAAAGGGAATGGAATCAAGACGGTCATTGTCAACATGGTTGATGTTGCAAAGGCTTTGAACAGGCCTCCAACGTGTGAGTATATATTTGGGGCTAGTAATGTTAAATGGGGTTTGCAGACCTTATTTTGTCTGATTATGTTACAGGGGTATTTTAATGCTGCTTTTGGTAAAAGGATAACAAATGGTCTCAAATGATGGAAAAATTACTTAATTAATATTGGATGAGAAACTCACTGCTGAAATAAAGTCCTTCCTCTGTAGTTTAAGGCGCAAACGAAGGAAGATGACAAAATTACGGAAAGAGCATTTTTATAAAATTATTGATACATTAATTGCTAAAACAAAAGCTGTAGACCTTTGTTATATAGATGTCTTAGAAATGTTCTTATCGAACCCTCAAAACAATCCATTATGTTACCTTACTTCACCCGAACAGGGGGGAAAATCACCAAACTCATCCAAATATCAACTAATTGTTCAGAAATCACATTGGATCACAATATCTTCATATGCTGATATATTGCCATTTAAAAACACCATATCAATCTCTTTTACTAATGAAATATTGCTATATGTCATCGTTATGCTACGAAATCCCCCGAATTTTGCCATATTTTTATATGTTGACATATTGACGCGGTATCGATCCATTTTACTAACAAAATCTCACAAGAATTTGAAAAATATCACGAGAGTTTGTAACAGAACGATGAAATTTCACGAGATTTTGAAAGTAAAATAGATCGATACCACGTTTTTAAAAATCTATTTGATATCAGCATATGAAAATATATTTGAGTATATTATTTTTTCAAAGTGTCAGAAATGGATAACAAAACTGCTATTTTCAATGACTGCTTATTTTTGTCCAGCTTTAACATCGGTATCGATATTGGTTATCGGCTACATGAGTTTTAAAATATCGGCATATCGAATATCGGCCAAAATCACAATATTGTTCATCCTTTATTTAAAGCGGTTTAATACAGCATTTAAAATCCCTAAGCCCACAGGTCTAAATTTTAAATTAAATGGAGAAATTAATCTAGTTTTGAGTTGGTTTAAGTGAAATTTGGGAAAAATATAAATTATCCCAAGTAATTGTCACTTAAACCAAATGTCAGAAGTAAACTTAACAATGTTAACAGCAATTTTCTGAGAAACTGTACTGTGATCATTATATAAATATTAAAGTTTATTCTTAAACAAAGTTAAGGATAGTCTTTTCACAATGTTTGCTGGGTTAGATTTGGTCTCACTCTCATTTCCAGGTATATTTTTTTTTTGTCAGATTAACTGACAGGGAATGTGGATCTTGGTGAATTCCATCAGAAAGCTCAAGAAGAGTTTAGAGGACATAATGATGATAGAGTACTGCGTAAAATAGGGTTTAAGCTCATTCAATATCGTCTCAATATTAAGTAAAATATTGCAAAAACATCTGTTTCAGTAGAGTAACTGGTTAGAATTAAACAAATGTATATATTTAGCTGTTTATAATGGGAATAATTCAAATAACTCCTATTTCACTGGCCTTGTCTCTCTGCAGATCCGACCAAGTTTTTTGGTTGTGAACTCGGTGCTCAGACCCAGTTTGATACCAAAAACGATCGTTACATTGTCAACGGATCCCATGAGGCGAACAAGTTGCAGGATATGCTTGATGGGTTCATCAGAAAATTTGTGCTGTGTCCCGAGTGTGACAACCCTGAAACTGACCTGGTAGGTGACTTCCTGCTACTTTAAAGAGCATTTAGAGGGGCGTCAAATGGAAAGCTGGGAATTAGTTCAAATTTAAGAACAGTCGAAGCACTGTATGCACAAGTATGTCCCAATTTTATCCCGTTACATGATCGTCTTGTCATCTTTACAGCATGTCAATCCTAAGAAACAAACAATCGGCAACTCCTGTAAGGCCTGTGGATACCGCGGCATGCTAGACACCAGACACAAACTCTGCACGTTCATTCTCAAAAACCCACCTGGTAAGCTGTTCACATTTAGCTCACAGGATGAACAGTTATAAGGAAATCCTTGTCTCAAACCTGTTCCCTGTTTTATTTTGATTTTTTTTCCCCCTCCCAACTACAGAGAGCAATGATAGCGGTTCTGCATCTGTTAAGAAAGAGAAAGAAAAGAAGAACCGCAAGAAGGACAAGGAAAATGGCTCTGGCAGCGGCGAGGCTGGAAACCAGGACAACATCGACGCCCCTGAGGCTGTGGTGCGTTTGCTGTCCTCAACATGACCGTTTTAGAAGATGAATAAATCAAAAACCGAAGATCATGTTAGAAATGAAGAAACATACAAGTGAAGGTTTAGAAGCTTTGCAGTGTAATAGCGATGCAATGACTATGTTTGGAAAAATGAAATGGAATTCTTCTCCAGTGTCCCACAGTTGTGTAATATTCACAAAAAAATAACTTTTGCAACAGAAAAAAAAACAAACATTTTATTTATTTAAAATGACATTAAAAAAAAAGGCAAACGCTGATGAAATCAAAGTTCTAACTGATATGGGCAATTCGTATTGATCTTTACGGGAGCAGTGAAAATTGTATAGCCTGAAACGGTCTGATGACCCTTGAGTTCACCTGGGGTTTAGCAGGCTTTCCTGAAGGACCTCTCCAGTTCTGAAATCCCCTGCTCCGTCAGCCCTGATTTGTGTTTGTTGGCATGGTTGTCGCCTCACCTTCATCCCCTCTGTTGGGAAGGGATCTGATACCTTTTATGACGGATGAGATGACCCACCTGTACCTTCTCCCTTTGCAACATCCTGCCACTCTTTACTTTAGGCTTGTGCAGAACATTTGGCCCCTTAAGTGGAAAGCAGAGCTAACGGATAATAGCTCTGGTGTAAAGGTCGAAGCGCTACTTACAAGATCTTTGAACACAAATGCTGTAAATAAAAATAAAACTTTGGTCAGAAGCCAACTTGATAACATTTTCAGCAGCAAAACCATAGTTTGAGCATTCCTCTGGGATGCTGATCTCGTTTATTATCAATCATTTTTTGCTTTTCTTTCGTTCTGTACCCAGGATAGAGACGATGACGACGAGGACTGGGCAGAGGAGACGACTGAGGAGGCACAGAGGCGTCGAATGGAAGAGATTAGTGACCATGCCAAGAATCTCACACTCAGTGAGGACCTGGAGAAACCTCTGGAGGAGAGGGTCAATTTGTTCTACAGCTTTGTGAAAGTAAGACCACTCTGACTATAGATTTTAGCTGGATTAATAAAAAATGCCTTTTATTGGCAGCAGTTCATCATGTTTTATTATTTTTTATAATAGCAAAAGAAGGAGAGTGGAACCATTGATGGTGCCGATAAAGAAATCTTGGCAGAGGCAGAGCGTCTGGATGTAAAGGCCATGGGGCCGCTCATCCTCAGTGAGCTCCTCTTCAACGAGAACATCCGTGACCAGATCAAGAAGTACAAGCGCCACTTCCTGAGGGTATGTTGCTGTTTAAACTCTCATGAAACATTAGTCCTAATATGAAAAATGATAAAATCCACGAGACCTCACATCTGACAACGAAAATAATGGATAGAACATCTTTGGTGTAAAGCCACACTGCAAACACAACAGACCTAAAAACGGCCTGAAATCAGCACGATTATTTTTCTGTGTGATTCAGACATTATGTTGTTGAAGCTCTGTTTTAACACGGTTTACCAGGAGCAGTTTAAACGACTCCACCTCACTTGTTAGATGAGGCAGAGTCGTAGCTTCTCTGCTTCTGGACTTTCTTTCTTTTTCTGTTTGAAGATCTGGTTGCTCCGTCTGTAATGTTGGTTCAAATTTAGTTACTCAAAGATGAGGTCAGTTCTTTAGGTTATTCTCTGAGTCTAGTGTAAGGCTGTATTAATAATAATTGAACTTTATTGATCTCACGTTGGAGAAATTTACCTCTGCATTTAACCCATCCCCTTGAAGATCCGTATGAGGTTAAGGGTCTTGCTCAGAGAGCCAGAGTGAACTCAGAAACTCAGGATTGCAAGCTCTATGCTCTAACCACCAGGCCACCACTCCCAATCGGCAGCTTTTTTAATTCAGAGATCTTTAACTGTTCATTAGTAATTATCCCAAAAGGTTTATCAATGGAGCAGCAATAATGGATGAAGGGAAGGTAAATTAAAGGACTTAATCTGAACACAGTGGTAATGTTGAGGAGTTGAATATATCCCTGTGAGGACCTGTGCATTGGCTTTTACTGTTACCTTGGGGTTTTGAAAAGTTTCAGAATGTGCTTCCACCTAGTGGTTATCAATGGGATTCATTGAAGGCACTCTGTTTTCTGTACTCCTGGAGTTATGAATGAACTTCTTCCTAGGCAGGTGATTAAAAATGTCAGACTGTGCATCACAATCAGTCACAGGAATTCGATATTTTAAGCTATTAAAAAAAATATCCTGGTCATGTTGGATTTAAAAATATTTACTTTGTTTTTGAGCATTAATTTTTATAAATCTTTTTTTTGTTTTTTGGTCATTTAATTTCCTTCAGTTCTGCCACAACAACAAGAAAGCTCAGAAGTATCTTCTGGGAGGCTTTGAGTGTGTCGTGAAGCTCCACCAGGTTCAGCTGTTGCCACGCGTCGCCATCATCCTCAAAGACTTGTATGATGCTGACCTGCTGGAAGAGGATGTCATCTTTGCCTGGGCTGAAAGGGTTAGTGTGATGAGTGCTCACTGTTTCTACTCGTGTCAATGAAGGCTGTAGGAAATGGGCCTGTGCGCCTCAGAGAGGTGGAACTATGGTTGTGCTTTAATCCTTTTCTTGTATGGGATATTTCTGACCCGCTTTTGTTTAAAAATTTAAGGTTTCCAAGAAGTACGTCTCCAAGGAACTTGCCAAAGAGATCCACGCCAAGGCTGCTCCTTTTGTCAAATGGCTGAAGGAGGCAGAGGAAGAGAGCGAGGGCAGTGAAGAGGAGGATGAAGAGGAAGACGATGAAAACGTTGAAGTATGGCTTAGCTTTCTTTTGACAAAACCTCAACACTCCAAGCTGCCACTTGATTAAAATTTTTTTTTTTGGGATGGGGGGGGGCTACATGTGATGTTTAAAGGTGATTGTTTCCAGTTTTTATGCAGGTCCACAGAAATCCATTCAAGTAAAGTTTGGTAATTGAAAAGCCTCCCGGTCATTTTACCCTTTGGCTGTTTTTCATGTTTTAGTTGATTGTGTACTGGATGATGGTGTCCAGTACTGGATATTTATGCCAGTAGAAAGGGAGTATTACATGGATACTAAATGTGGGTGCAGACAGTGAATTGATGCATAGTGTGTTGAAAGTGGTTTAGACAGTGTGGTAAAAAGTTTTGGTGTTTTCTTCCAACAGGTGGTGTATTCACAATCTGCCCGAGAGCTCAAAGTGGAGACCGTGAAACCAGAGACGCCAGAGAAAGAAGAGGACGACATCGACATTGATGCAATCTAAGACTCGGATGCTGCTGCTTTTCCTCTTGCGTTGTGGCTTCGACTAACAGCCCTGTAAAACCTATAGAGCTCAGCTTTTCCCTTATTGATTCCTTTTCCCTCCCCGCCCTCTGCAAACCCCTTTGGCTTAATGGCATGATATAGTAAAGTGCTTCACCTGCTACACAATAACTCTGTAATTCTGCAATGTGTTGAGTTCATTAAATGAAGTCGATTGGGGGATTTTAATCAAGGGGGTGTTATGGGATCTTTTTCACTGCACTTTTTCTTTCTTTGTTTGGAGTTCCCTGTATTTTTGCAGTCAATAAAGAATGTTTTGCTATCCATCATGCTGGACTGATCAGTGGGTATAGTGTTGAAAATGTCTTCTGTTGTGGTGATGCTTCAAAGGAAATCCTAACTTTTGTATGGACTGGGAAGTTTGGGATTATTCCTGAATGTTTTTGATAAAAAATGGTTTGAACTTAAATAGCAATGAGGAACTATTGAAAGTCGCTTAATTTTTAATTCTAAATTCAGAGAAGGTAATGAGAGCCATTAAGAAGCTGTATTACTGAATGCATTATACGTGTCATTTCAATGGTTTTGATTTTCTACATGATAGCAAAGCTGCTACCATCAGTCACTGGTAGAGCAGCTCTAGAAATGGCTCCACATTGCATGTTTTTAAAAGTGATTTTTTTGGTTAAATGTTTGAAAATAACACCTGTATTTTGGTCATTGCACAAATTGAGAACATTTCTAGGGAGGAAACAAATGGCCAAGTCTAGTTTTGTGTGATTTTAATTTATATTCTATAAATGCTTTTATAACTAATGAAAACTCAGCATGAAACGTTATAGAGTGGCTTGTAGCTCTAGGGAGTCCTACAGTAAAGGAATCAAATCAACAGTACAACTAAACCTCAGATACAAAAATGTAAATATATAAAATAACAAAAGGCCTCTCCTTCCCAATGCTGGGAGTGAAGAGCAGTGCATGCGTTTTCCTTTGAAGCAAACAACCATTTCCTGCTGGCTGGTGCCAGTCCTCGGTACTTTGTAGTCCTGTGGGACCGGGGTCAGTCAGTTTCCGCTCGTTCAGCTAAACATGCTCAGGAGGCGTTCAAGTGCCGTCGGATAAAAGACTGACGAAACCAACCCCAGCAGTAAAATCTAATGATGAATATAGGATGTAGGGATTTGCATCTTGGATTACTATTTCTTTTATATTTAAAACTAAGTAGGTCCTATTTACCCTGCCATCTGCATTCAAAAAAAAAAAACTGCTATGATATAAAACAATACTTTTGATATCTTTTAAAACGTTTTTAGAGCGATTTAAAAGATTGTCTCCTTGAACTCCAGTCGACTTTGGCAGATAGCCGCTCACACTGAGCCTCATTCTGCTGGAGATTTCCTCCTTGTTAAAAGGGAGTTTTTCCTCTCCACTGTCGCTACAAGCATGCTTAGTGTTTTGGATTGCATTCAAGTCAATGAGTCGATGCAATCAACTGGTTTTCCTTCGAAAACTTTGAATCAATTTGACTGGATGATCTGTTGGAATTGTAAAATGCCTTGAGATGACAAGTGTTGTAAGTTGGCACTATAGAAATAAACTAAACTGAATTATATAAATTGAAGTTCCTCCATATTAAATAGTTTTAGGATAAGATATTTGTTTATCCTCAATTAAATGACATCACTAGAGACACACCTTTAATTCATCCTGCTTCTTAAACTAATGAATGCAGCATTATTCGGTTGATCAGGTTTATCTAATCTCCACATTAGTTATTATATAAATACTAAAATGTTTAGGCTCATTAGCTTCACTGTTTACATGGTGAATTGACCAATCAGCTCTCTCTGTTTCTTTCCTTCATAAGACTCTTTGGCTCACTGCAGGTCAATCTCAGTATTATTTTCTAATTAAAGAGCTTTCTTAGGCCTCAGGTGCTTTGTGAATAACTTCAATCTCACCAAGGTTAAACTTTTTTTTATTGAGGTTTTTATTTGTTTCAGAATAAGTAGAGAAAGAAAAATTAAAAAAATACAACAAAAACAAAAAATGTGTAAAAACAAAATAGAAAACAGCGAGGTCAGCGCATATCAAATTAAGAGCATAACATTTTCAATTAAGTTTATTTCTATAGCGCCAATTCACAACACGCCAGATCATACAGTCAAATTGATTCAGAGTTTTCTATCTAAGGAAAAGAAATTGATTCCATCGACTCCGACTCTTCAGCAATCCCTCACACTAAGCATGCTTGTAGCGAAGGTTGAGAGGAAAAACTCCCTTTTAACAGGAAGAAACCTCCAGCAGAACCAGGCTCAGCATGAGTGACCATCAAGTTTGTTCTAAGATATTCTTTTAATTTGGCTAAAATTTGTTAATATGAAACTATTTCCAACATTAATTCCAACCAGCTTTTAACATTCCGAGCGGATTGGGATTCGTCTATCTGAGGATTACTGCAGCAGCTGTGACACCCCCACCTGTATCACCTTACTTTGGTGTTTTAGTTTCTCAGCCATCACTGTTTGGTTCCCCAGTGAACCATAGTCTGGGTGACATGAGTATCTCCTCACCTATTCACTTTCCACTGTGATATATTACTGTTTTCCACAATGGTAAAATGTATTTGCACCTCCAGACTGCATGTAGAAAGATTCCTGATTCCGTTTTGCATTTCACCAATGGTTCAATTTTAACAAACAAAACTTGGAATTTATCAGATTTTTCCTAAGGTGGTAGTTACATTTATGTAAGTATCATTTTAAACAAAAGGATACTTTTAGTGGTTTTCTGCAATGTACATTTACTTAAATTATATTTTCATGAAGCATCAATACTCTTAAGTAAACAAGTTTTTGCTGCTCTACATACTTATTAACTTAACTGAGTAAAGAAAAAACACATTTAATGTTTTACTAAAATTAGTATCCTTTTCTTACACAATCATTCTAGTTTTAAAGGTACTTTTATCTTCTGATACTTTTATAACATGGACGTGAAGGTAATATACAGTAAAATGTGTACATTTTAACTGAAAGTTTTTCCTCTTTTCTATCATAAATAAGTATTTACAATGTAAAAATAATTTTATAGTTTTTAATTTAATGAATGAATTCAGATAATTAAAATATTTTCTATTTATTGCTCTTAATTGTATCAATTACTTTATTTTCAGTCCTTACAACAAAATAAACTGCACTTAACTTAATATTCTCTCTGATTGCACCCTTTCAAACAGTTAATCAGCTGTCAGTACTTTAGGGTTTTTTTTTTTTTTTTTGTTTTGTTTTTTTTTAACCAAGGAAAGTTTAGAAGGAAAATGAAAGGAAAATACCAAATAATTTTTTTTTTATGTGAACTCTTCTATTATCATCTGATGGGGTAACAACATTGGAGAAAATGACATAAAGAAGCTGTAGTTATTAGAAGTAGTTATTTTATATTAATAGAGGTGGCCAATATTAGCACTGATAGCAAATATAATTCAACTGAGTTTTCGAGTTCAAATCAATTCAGTTTATTTATATAGCGCCAATTCACAACACATGTCGTCTCAATGTACTTTACAGTTCACCAGGTCATCCAGTCAAACTGATTCAAAGTTTTCTATCTAAGGAAAACCAGTTGATTGCATCGACTCATTGACTCGAAGGCAATCCCTCACACTAATCATGCCTGTTGCGACAGTGGAGAGGAAAAACTCCCTTTGAACAGGAAGAAACCTCCAGCAGAACCAGGCTCAGTGTGAACGGCCATCTGCGGAGGCCCACTGGGGTTCAAGGAGATGGATACAAAAGGCAACTGTAAGAGGCGCCTCCGTCCAGGAAACACACAGCCAGGTTAAAGAGAGCACATCCAGCCAGTCACAGTCAGAGAAACAGGACTACACTGAAAAACAGGCAGATCTCGAACATCAATAAACAGAGGTGTTGATGGCAGCAGCACAGCTGATATTTCTCACAGCCAAACTGAACTGAACAGTTTCTTAGTTTATATTAAAAATTTTGCCATTGTTGATCAGGATATTTTACTTTTAAAATGGAAGAGTAGAAAATTATTGGACAGGATATTGATAGCAGGGAGCTGCCGCTGTCCTCTCCTACAGGGTCATCATTCAGACTGTTCAGTGTACATCTATCTGTGTGCTTTGTCTCATCGACAAACATGGTGGGTTCAAACTGCAAAGAGCAAATAGGTCTGCAGAGAGGATCACTGGGACTGAAATTCCATTCATCTGTGACATGTCTAGTCCCACTGTAAGAGCATTGCACATCTCTGCTGACCCCACACATGCTGCTCAGAGACCTCTCAAACTCTTATCCTCAGGGAGGCGCTTCAGAGGTCGCAATCCCCCCAACACCCTCTGTTGAACTCCATGAACTGCTTACACCAGGGTCATCACACTCTCAACATTTAAAGCATATTGCACCATCACAATTGGCCTTTCTCATTTTTTAAAGCACGATTGTATATAATTTATATACAATCGTGCTTTAAAGTTTGAACTGCAAATTATGATTTGAGCAGTCTATGATCAAAGTTGATTTCCTGGTTTGGGTTTACTAAAGTTTAGCATTTTGGTTGATTCTGATACTCATGCTCGATTCCATTTACCTAACTTTGATTTGGAATAGTGCAATCATTGATTTATCCGAGCTTGGACATAGAAATAATCAGTTAATACTCTGTGGTAGGCAGTGAAAAACCTAGAGATTTGCTGTTTATTCCTTTCCTTTATTAATCCAGAACTTATGGAACCGGCATTAAATATGGTGTCACTTCCTTTTTGCAGTCAGCTCCATCAAAGAGTATAATTTCAAATCAATTTAGCTATTTGACAAACAGATCCCACTGCAGGTCAGTTGGATTGGTTAGTTATCAGTGTGCTATCACCATCAACTAATGAATATTTTAACTTTTGCTCTAATGAAGATGGTTAAAAATGTATACCAGTTATAAAGCACCTATTTTCTAAACATGAATTTGGACCATTGATTGTTTTTTTTTTTGTTTTTTTTGTGAATGAATGCTACATTTTAAATGTGAGATAAACTTCATTAAACCAATTGAAATGTGTTTGCCTTTTAAAATATGCATAATAAATAAGCTGTCAGAACAAAAGCAAAAATTAAATGTAAAAATGAACTGTATAATATCCTTCCCTTAAGTTGGTGTGTTTTCTTTCTTTCTTTCTTTCTTTCTTTCTTTCTTTCTTTCTTTCTTTCTTTCTTTCTTTCTTTCTTTCTTTCTTTCTTTCTTTCTTTCTTTCTTTCTTTCTTTCTTTCTTCTATAAAATTGATGTAACTTACTTTAACTTCAGTGTGCTACATAGACCAACATGGCAAAGGCCTAGTTAAAATTTTCACTGTTTTGTTTTGTAAATTTTGATTGTGTTACATTAAAAAGAAGGCTGTAAAAATAAAGCTTCTTGCACTCTTCCTAAGTGACATCATAGATGGCAAGTGATCAGACTTTTTTGATTGTATGGTTTTTGTGTTTTACTTTATATGGTTGCAGCAATCTCCCCAAGTGACAGGTGAGAACATTTCAGAAACAAATCTATTAAATGTGGCTTTATAAAAAAAAATGATTCGCTTTTTTTATGATTATGTACATTTCATAGTGAAGGCAACATAGGATATAATCTTTTATCATAATCAAATCTTAGATTTTCTGATATCCCAGAAATCGAGATGTCCGTGAACGCATCTTAATCCAGCCCAGCCGCTGAGTAGCCATTTTGGTCCCACCTAAAGCAGACAGACCCGCTTCACTTTGGCCGCTGGAGATGGAAGAAACCGAGCAAAAGGAAAGCGTTTCGGTCATCCAGACCCTTTAAAATCGACTGCCAATCAACCGTCGAAACCACTTGAGGCCATGTCGTTTTTGTAAAGCGAGGCATTTTTTTTTTTTTTTTTGTTGGGATGAAAAAAAAAAGACTGGTGATTTTTGGAAGTGACGTCCGACATCTCCTTCATGATAGTTTAGTTAGCTTCACTGACTGAAGCCCGAACGGAAAAACGGGCTGCAATTTACTTGTCGAGTTGAACAAAGGTTACAGTAGGATCATGTTTAATCTGTGGATTTAACACTAAATACAAGTGTTTTATTTTACGTCGCGGAATATCTCAGGCTGTAACACGTCCGGTCTGGGGGTGAAAATTGTCACGATCCATGCTGAGCCTGTTTTTCCTCAGAGACCTGAACAGCAAAGCAATAAGAACCTTTTTTTCTTGGGTTTGGATTCAGGACGGAGGGTGTTTTTGACCTCGCTGGTCAGGGAAGACCGAATAAATGATGTCAACAAAAACTCCTTTACCAACGGTCAACGAGAAGGTGACGGAAAGTGTAAGTAGAATGGCTTTTTAATCAGGATGTTTCTTATTTCTCAAATTTGCCAATAAATGACTCCATCGTTTTTGTTGTTTGAATACGCTATAGAAAATAAACCCACTGTGCGAATTATAATTTCATTGGAAACCGTAAACAAGTATAAGTTCTTCGTCAAATCAGCTCCTATAGATGTGTTTTATTTAGTCCAAGCTTCATGTTATTCATGCTTCCGAATAATTAGTCTTTTTTTGTTGCAAGAGTCCACTCGGGATATTTAGGCCTGAACACGAACAAAACTAAAGTACTTTGCCTGCTGATTCTGGCAGGCAACAGTAGTTTATGTATCGGGTGGCCATTGGCTGGCGGACCTATCACTCAAAAGTTCAATCCAATCAGCTTCCAGATAGAGCCCCCTTTACCCCACCCCTTCGTGACTGTTTGAATCCCCCTGTGAGAAACAAACCTGTCAAGCTGGCTTTGATGAAACCAACATTTGTGCTTCCGGAAAGTAGTTTCAAAATTAAAGTAAAGCAGTTGAAATAGTTTCAAGTATAGTTATTTAATTCGTTTGATAGGGGATGGTATATTAAATTTATTAACTGACATCTCTATGAATTATTTAATCCATCCAGAATGATCTTGCTTGAAGAATGTGTCATGCTTTACATAAAAAAAAAAATTCTTATTCTATTTTTTTTTTTACAAATATTGCCTTTTAACTTGGAGGGAAATTATGCTTCATTTGTTTTTCTACAAATAGAAATGTGAGAAGTCTTTTATATATTTGTATTCAACACCTTTTACTCTGGCACCTTTAAACAAAGCAGTTTATCCATTACTCTTTAGTTGTCAAATATTTAATGCATGTGATTCACCCAGGAGTAATTTTATCATGGGTGTAAACCCAGCTAATTTATGATTTTTTCAGAGCAACATGAACATTAGAATGAACACATGAGAATCATCGAATAAATGCCCAAATTGAACTGTTCAACTTGAACTTATTCTGTTTTACATGCTCTTTCAAGCACTTTCACAGTAAAAAAAGACCAAATCTATACTATATTTTTACACATTTTCTAACTTTTTTTGAACCAGCACTTGATTTTAAGTCAGTTCCTTTGAGGCATTGCAGAGTTCTTAAATGATACTGCCACCTGTGGCCAAACCATCAAACTGCAGCACCCTTCTGCTTGTTCTCGTATTTCGTGCTCATACTTAACAAGTTTTTTTTTTGCTTTTACTTTTTTAACCTTACGTGGCTTTGCTATTGGTGTCTGATTTGAACTGGATGCCGATTATCCTAAAAAAATCAGCGCCAAACAGCGCGGGAACTTCCGCCCCAAAAATAAATTCAGGAAAATAAAGATAAAGCCTATAGATACATCAGTGCCGAATTAATGAAGTGTCAGTCAGATAAAAAGGCCACTTTAAAGATATTTAACAGTAAAAAAATATATATAATATCTATTTAAATTTACCAAATACAGAAAGCATTTTCTGAACCATTTTTTTTTTATCTGGCTCAAACAAATATGCAAGGGTTATGATCCACTTTGCTTTACACATCCTGCTCCACAGAAAATCCACCTTTTTTTTGTTTAAAATATTAGATGGTGACAATTTATAGTGCTGGTTTAAAAAAAAAAAAAAAAGAATAATACAGTCCTTTACAAAATACTTAAAAAAAAAAAAAAAAAAAGGAAAAAACATTTTTTATTGTATTTTTTTGGCCCTTGAGTACTTTTGATTTGACTGTTTTGGCCAAAAGAACGAGAAATTTGTACATCTATGGCTGTCATGGTCGGGTGTAAACTTAGGCTACGTTGAGCAGCCTGAAGTGACCTAAATCCGATTTTTACCCATATGCAACTTGGATCTGATCTTTTCATGACGGTCTGAACAACACAGATCCGATTTTTTATTATTTTTTTTCCCCAATGCGTTTTTACCAACATGTGTCTGAACGGCCAGGTCGAATTAATCCGACCTGAACGCCATTGATACCCGACAAAGGTCCCTATTTTGCATCTTGCTATGTAGAAGCGGCAAGAAAAACAACAAACATGACATGATAATGCTGAGAGCAGTATTTATGTTTAACCATAATAAAAAGAGGGAGTTTTTAAGGTTGGGAAAGATCACTAGATTCGCCCCAGCACTACCATCCATGTTTACTTCCGTAAGCACAGCGTACGCTGGCCTGTGACATCATTACGTCCTCTACTGCGCATGCAGGACACTTGGGTTGTATGAATACAGTTCACATTTTAACAAAAAAATCGGAATTGAGCATAAAGGCCTGCAGTGTGAACGTAGCCATAGAGGCTGGGATAGGACAGTATGAATCAGAGAAGCATCCAACAGGCCCACGGTAACTAAAAAGGAGATTCACCATTAAGGTGGAACGATCTGTAGATGTTTGAACTATTATTTACAAATCTGGCCGTATGTAGAGGTGGTGGGTGGAAAGCCATTAGAAGACCCATTTGCAAGAAGCCATGTGCAGTGCACCAGAAATGTGAAATTAAAAATGTTTTGGTCAGAGAAGACCAAAACTGGCCTATTATGGGGTAGGAGCATGCAAAATATAACACTGTTGGTTAAACCTTTAACTGTCAGTAAACCTAATTTACCATCACTCTGTCCTTGGGGTGTCTTGGGATGGAGAAGCTTCCATTGCTCCCACTCGGTTCCTCAGATCAGCTGACCTGCTGCTCCTGCAGGTACCGAGGTCCAAACGGAAGCTCAGAGGAAACGGAGCTTTTTCCACTTGCTGCTCCAAAATTTGTGGAATGAGCTCCCCCTCCTCATTAGACAATCATCTTCACTGTCTACTTTTAAAACTCGTCTTTAAACCTATTTTTATTCTTTGGCTTTTAACACAGCATGACTCTCTCTGGTTTTGCGTTTGTTTGTTTAATTGTTTTCATATGGTTTTATTTTGTTATAGTTGTTTTCTTCCTTTAAACTTCTGTGTTGTTTTTATGTAATTTGAACTTTACCTGACACGTATAGCCTTTTCTAGCAGCTGTGGTTGTTTGAAACGGCTTTGTAAATAAAGTTGAGGTGATTATATGATGATGGGCAGAGCTAACTACGGAGCAGCACGATCTGTTCGAACCTCCAAAAATCTGAATTGCTGCAGAGCTTGACTTTCTAACAGAAACGCCTAACATAGAGCCAGGGCTGAGGTGGTGTGGCCAGCATCGAAGCATTTTTTTTTCCATGTCCTAACGCCCCAGTTGGAGGTAGGCTAATGTTTAATGTAAGCATCATCTGTTTGGCTGAGAAACAAAGAGGGATGATAGTTGGGCCTGTTCTTCAGTGTTTGGTCCCGTTTCTCTCCTAGGCATAGCTGTGGCTCAAGTTTTACTGTGACTACCTGGATGTGCTCTCTTTCATTCTTATTAATTTGAAAAAATTCGGAGCACATCAGCTTCACTGTTTCCTTCCTAGACAGAGCCTCCTAAAGAGATGGCTTAATCTTCCCTTTTCTAATATAGAATGCATTCATAGATCAGTACTACTATGTTCCTGTGATACGTCTGTTTCTGTCACCACCTCAGTCGGCAGAAGGCCGCTCACCCTGAGCCTGGTTCTCTTCCTTTTAAGAGGTTTTCCTCTCTAATGTCCCTACATGCGTGCTTTTTGTGAGAGATTGCTAAAGAATCACAATGCATGCATATATCTACGGTCTCTACATGCTCCCAGAGGAGGAGAGAAACCTGCACCGACAATTATTGGATGCAATCAGCTGGATTTCCCTTAGATGGAAAACCTTCAGTCTGTCTGATTAAATCTGATGAATGTTGTGTATCGGCACTGTATAATTAAACTGATTGTTATTCACATATTTTGGTCTTTCACCAAAAAAAGGTGAGACAGAAATGCCTCTAACTGCCTGAAGTCATTTTATTTGCAGTTTATTTGTAGTTTGGTATAATAAAAAACTTGAAGGCAAAAAAAAAACCTCCAAAACAAGTCACTTTTTAGCTTTGTGTTTGATCATAAACACAAATACATTAATTGTTTTAAGGAAGTCAAATGTGTAATTTGTCTTAATTCCAAAGCTCCCTTTTCCTTTTCATTTCCAGTGTTTTTTATTTTCCCCTTCATTGGAAACCGACCAATGAGCTGCTGTAGAAATCCTTAAAGTCTTTCTAGGTTTGCTTTATTTTATTCTTCCTTTTCTGTGGCTGCAAGCAGACAATATTTACACGTGACCTGGCCGGTCTTATGACTCCTGTTGGTAGCAGCACAGAGTCAGCGGGAGATAACGCTCTGAGCACAAACAGAACAGCACAGAATAATTGATTCAGTGAGAACTAATGATTTGTTTGCCAGTCTTTTTAGTCAACTAAGCTAGAAGTTCATTCAAGCGGTTTTTTTTTTTAGATGGTGGGAGTGAGAAAGAAACACAGGACTCCATGTTCTCAACACGGCTGAGGCAGCTTTTATTTTGAAAGTGTGTCGGCCAGTTTCTGGTTTGGGTGTGTCTGCCGTGGGCTTGACTGGGCAGGAGCTCCTTTCTCCTCCTGTGTGGTTACTGGGGCTCTGAGAGTTGGGAGGTCTGGTATTGTTGGACATCATTGGTGTGGCAGAGGACTGAGGCATGACAGGATCCCAGGGAGCCAGGAGGCACCGCAGCTTTGTGAGTAACTTCTCCCAAAGAAAGGAAGGACTTTTAACAAGGAATGTTGTTTGTTTTGTTCAGTCTCCTATCAGGAAGTTACGAGCTGGAAAATGAAACCGGAGCGCTTTTGGGAAAACTTTTTGTGTCGTATGTTAGAATTAGACATTATTGAAGCTGTAGCCGCAGCAAGTTTTCTTTGTTTAATCACTCATTTCTTTTTTCCTTTAATTTAGAACAGTGACCTTATCCTATAAGAGTAATTTATTTGTTTTCAGTGATATTGGACAGTATGAACACCAGAAATAATCCTGTACCGACTCAGAAACCATCTGGCTGTTAAGTTCAGGGTTAATCTGACCTTATTTTGGTCTAGTTTGCTTTAAAGAATAGATTTTTTGACATTTTCAGTAACGAGTTAAATCTTTCCCTATTTTGATTTAGGCTAGAACTGCAGGTCCTTCAAAGTTATTTTTATCCTATATAACTTTTATTTAATTTGCTGTATGTATTTAAAGATTCTTTTTTGGGAAGTTTCTGTTGTATTATTGCGATTTCTCGCCTTATCACAAAGACAGAACGGATGTAGTGCTGATAACCATCCTTAGAGATCTGATCACACGTCAAGGTGTGAACATACTTAGGAATGTTGAATTCTGACTTTTAGCGTAGGAATGGTTTCTTTCCCCCTCCTTAGGCTGCCTGACGCATTTAGTCTGCAGTAATGGAAAAACCGGAGGGCAGTTTGTCCTGAGATACAGTAAAGGATGAGTTTTAATTTGGAAATCGCTGTCAGAGAAATATCAGTTGTATAACAGTTTTTATTTAACATCAGTACACTGCCTTAAATATTCATAAATACATCCAGATTTTCCTTATTGGTTTTGAATGTAAATTGTAGATCTTTAATTAATATGTCCTGATTCTCCCACCGATACTTTTGTGCTGATTTTTCTCTTATGAAATGTGGTCGATACTGCTTATTAATTAAATTAAATACATTAATCATCTCTAATTTGAGGCCTAATACGTCATATTTATTCTTTACTTGGGTTTTCTTTTACCAACTTTGCCAAATAACTCCAGGAAATAATCTGTACCAGCTGGCTGTCACTTTAATTATTTTTTCACCAGGTGTCCTGGTCAAAAAATAAATAAATGGAGGCAACTTTTTGTTTTTTTTAACAAAATATGTAGTTAAATGAAATTATTTCTGAGACTTAAGCATTTTAACCATTTATCTCAATTCATTAAAATAAAAAATAAAAATAAAAAACACATCAGCCTTTAAAGCGTCCTCTTAAAATGATTTATTTCCTTTTTAAATTTTAAGATATATTCTTGTCTAAAGATTTTGTGTTTTGTCTGTTTTGGGGTGTATGGTGGCTCAGGAGGAACATTTAATTGATTTTAGGCCTTTCAGTATAATAACAATAAGAACTGTTCTGTTATTAAATTAACTAAAAAACCATCCGATAAGTTTGTTTGAAATGTGTTCACTGATGTGAAATGAGCCGGAGCTGCCGGTTTATCGACCTGCAGCTCTTCTAGGAAAGTATGTCAGCTTAACAAGGTCTGACATGAACAAAACCTCAGTAAAAATACTTTAACTTCAGCTGTCAAACAAGTTATTTATTTCCGTTTATGTATCTTTAATTTAAAATCACAGTGCTCATAAAGGCCTTAAACTCTTTGATTTAACTGGTTTAGATTTGCAGAAGATTCTGTATCGAAATTAATTAAATGTAAACTCGCTTCACGCTGCATCATTTGCCCAATAAAAGCCAGCAATTTAATTTCTGTTAACCTGTTTTTTTGGAGGTAAAACTGCTGAGCTCTCCTAAGTTGCATAAAAGTCATCCTCTGTCATTTCTAGATTCATCAAGGCTTCAGTAGCAAACGCCACTAAAATGCAGATCAAGTGAATCTTATTTGTGGTGATCTGAATATTAACACAGTTTAATTGACTGAATGAATCAGTGACTCTCAGCAAAGAAAATCCAGTTTGCTGTTCAGCCCACTTTGTGACAACCCTGTTTGTTGATTAGCATTGAAATCAGGTAAATGGGACGTGGTTCCTGTAGACGCATGTTAATACCAGGTTTGAACACAGCTTCAGTGTTTGTAGAGCTAATTAGGTTAGGTAGGAGGGGGTCAGCTGCGGGCGGGGCAGAGACTCCCTCCTCTATTGATCAGGGGTTGGTTGGCTGATCGATACCGAAACACAAAGAGTATCTGTTCTGATTTTTTTATTTTTAATGTCAAAAGGATGGATGCTAACAAAACAGAGCAGCTGGTGGGTTTGTTCAAACTGTACACTGCAAAAAATTAGATCTAAATAAGTAATTTTTTCTTAAAATAAGTGATTTTTTTTTTTCTTGAATTAAGTTGGAAAGTGAGACACTTTGCGAATGGAATAAGAACATTTACATTTTAAATAAGAAAAAACAATTGCATTGTCTAAAGGAAAAATAGAAAAATACTCATTATATTGGCAAATCATCCTATTTACCTACTTAAATTGAGGGTAAATACCTTTATTTAAGATTTTTTTTATATTGTTTTTGCAGCGTGAGCTCTTTCTTTTAAGGTAGCATGATAAAGCTAATTGGCAGATTTATGTCGTTTCCTTTTCTCTTATTTCCTTTTTTGTCTGCATCCATAAATTGTGTGAAGGATTTTTTTTCTTCTAACACACAGCCTTAAAACATTGGGACTGACACCAAAACACCAGAGCCTAAATATGAATGATTGGAGCCAAGATTGAATAACCATCAAGTTTCCCAGAGGTGTGCTCATTGTGGCTGTCGGCTCAGCGGTTACATGATGGTGCCTTGTTTACCCAGACTGATTAATTGATTGACCCTTAACTTTAATTCAGACACACATGCCTTTCCATTAAAGCAGATTTAACTAAATGCGCCTCAGGTCTCCCTGTAGCATTTAGCAGTGTCATTCTTCCTAAGAGGAACCAAGAGACAAAATAACTTTTTAATTATTTTAACAAATAAAAGGGAATTTTAATCATTAGTGTATTTTTATCCACTGACAAAAAGTTGACATAAGGCAGCATAATGGACGTGTTCTGGTTGTCTTTCACACAACCCTATCCAGTGTGAATAACTGGGACTGTTGTCTAATTAAAAGCAACACCGACGTTCTGTCTGAAACATTAGAGCGTTGCTGTAAACTTATCTCAGACTTAAGGGTTAAAAAAATCATCCAAACAAGTTTGTTTTCTTTGTTGTGGGGAAAAAATGGCTTCATTACATCAGCTTTGAATGCTGTGCATCAAATGAAGCACATCCGAGGCGAATTAGAGGTGGATATACTATATAAGGGGACATTTCTCTACTATACGTTTGATTACAGCTGAATGACATAAGGAAACCTTACAATGGTGATGATATTTGTCAATGTTAAAATGCAAACATGCAACCTATTTTCTTCTTTTTGGACCATTTGGACTTTTAGCATTTTAGAAAATGTCATGTATCCAGGGTGTCTGCATCTGCTGCCGTGAGACTCTGCTCAACTGTCTAAATATTACATTAGCATAAAAAAAAATGCACCTTCATAACCCAGGCCAACGATTATCGCTCTCTAAACAGTGCTTTACGATACGAATATCGCTCACATTGGTGCTGAGAAGCACAATAGCAACGTGAGAAATGTGTTTGACATGATGATTCTTGTGTTCATGCTGCTGTAAAGAGGCCATTACAAGTAGGCTTGTCCCGATCCGATACGTGGATCGGATCGGGACGCCGATATTGGCAAAAAAATGCGTATCGGCAAAGCATGTAAAATGCCGATCCAGACTGCCGATCCAGTTTTAAAAAAAAAATCCGGTCCGTATTTTCCAGTTTGGCCGATTGAAACGATCCATTCCACTATTTTGCGCCAGTGTTCCCCTGTTTTGCATTTTTATTAAAACTTACAGTAATACTTGCACCTTTAACTGTTTACGGTTTTACTGCTCACTGTGCAATTTCAGATTGCTATTCATAATTTTGTCCAGTTTGTGTTTATCTCTTAATAAAAAGGTAAGTTTGTTGTTACCAAGCATAGTGTTTTATTCAATCTCACCTAATTTAGCTGGCTAGATGTTATCAAGAGTACTAAAACCCTTTTCAACATGAGTCTTACACCTAAGGCTAAATATTTTAACTTAAACTTAAATACATGCTCGGATAGGCTGGTATCGGCCAGTATCGGTATCGGATCGGAAGTCCAAAAACAATATCGGTATCGGATCGGAAGTGCAAAAACCTGGATCGGGACATCTCTAATTACAAGTGATGTGTAGTTTTAAGAAAAGCTACAGAACACTTTTAGTTCATTAACACAGTCTGTAACTAATGAGTAGAGAATACTTACATTTCTATAGTACTGCTGATTACTGAAGATAGCTGAGTTAATTAAATTAAACTAGAGTTGCAGCTTTTAGTTGTTTTAGTAAGCAATTAATCAAATTATTTTCTCTATTTTCTTCATCTGCTCTCTTCCACAGGTTGAATAAACCAGATATTTCTTTCTTAATTACCTTCTTACACTCTAGTTTTCAGTTGAATTTGTTTTTACACCTTAGGGATCATAGAAATGGCTCAATTTGAGTTGTTTCATAACAACCAAAGATTGTTGAGTTCAGCATGAAATGTTAGCTCCAAGTATGGTGCATTCACTGACCGGAATTTTGAGTTTCCTTTCGGTTGGTCAGCGATCTGGGCTGCGCAGGTTGAGAATGGTCCGGCTCTGGTCATAAAAACAATTTTGCTGGTAGAATCTAAAGCCGTTATAAGTGACGATTCACTGCTGCTATGTGTAAATGGAGATGCTTTGATGATTTAATGTCCCTGGTCATTAATCTCCCTAAAAACCACAAATAATAAAGATAATAATTTGACCTTTTCCTGATTCATACTTGCTGTATAAAGATGGTCCAATGTAATATCTGAATGTGCCGACTTTGTCTAACTCGCTTCTTCTCTCCACAGCACACGTCTCATAGCAATGGGCGCCAGGAGCTTAGCACACGCTCGGGTCGGACCGGCATGCGATCCCGCAGCTCGGACGAGTCGCAGCAGCCTCATGTCGGAAACTACCGGCTGCTCAAGACCATCGGCAAAGGAAACTTCGCCAAAGTCAAACTCGCCCGGCACATCCTCACCGGCAGAGAAGTAAGAACGAGAGGTTTTATTGTCAAAATAAAAAGCTGAAAAAAGAATTAACTGGAGGTTACTTGCATTATGCAGTATATTGGTGGGCAGATGTAAGCATTTATAAATGTATTATATAGAATTCAAGCTTTGATTAAATATAAAAATTTAGTCCCAAAGTTTTCTCATCAAAAGTCAACCTGTAATTTAAATATATTTTCTTATTTCAATCAAAAATAAATTGAAAGTGAAATAATGAATGTAAAGAATAATTTAGAAAGCAGAAGAGATTGATGTTTAAGTTACATTAATAATCTAGAAATTGAATTATTAAAACAATTAGAAATTTGGAACCAGAATTGTCTATATTGAAAATGAACGTAAAAATGTAATGTTGGTAATTCCAGAATTTGGGATGTGTGTATCTGTTTGCTTGAATCCATGAGTCAAACACCGAATAGGGAAAAATGACGCTTGGTGTAAAACTTTCCGTAAACAAACAGGAGTTCCTTTATCCGACTCCCACTGAGTTCATGCTGTAATGGTGTGATTTAAACGGCTATTGGACCTTAGATAGCGACCCGTCTGTAACTGAGACATAACTCTGTCTCTGCCAGCCGTAGGTCTGTAATCTTTGTTCTTTTATTGCCGATGGTTCTGGATTAAACATGAGTGCTGTCACTTTTCTGGAAGTTCTGCAACATTTGGCAGACTCTGTTAGTGTTGCGCGAACTGCTCTCAGAGCGTTTGTTGTCTCCGATCCGTCGACACATCCAGGGCTCTGAGTGAACCTGATACAGTAACTCCAGCAAGGCTGCTGCTGAAAATGATTATTTTAGCTTTTAAGACCCCAACAAGCAGCTCATGGTGTCCTTATACACCGGTTATGTTTTCAGAAGGCCTCTAAATTCAGTAAAAGTTTCCTTCCTTTTCTGAGCTCTCCTTTGTGCCTGTTGTTTTTAATTACAAAAGTATTCTGCTTTTCCACCTCCTCCTGTTTATCCAAGTTTCCTTTTTTTTTTTCTTTTTCTACAGGTGGCTATTAAGATAATAGACAAGACCCAGCTGAACCCAAACAGCCTTCAGAAGGTAATTTACTGTATTGTCTCTTTTTAAGCAGAATCTCTTTCCTCTGAATTGTTTGTGGAGCAAGTTCTTCTGGGCCGGTGTGAAGGCTTTGGAACTTTGGTTTTTCTGTCTCGTCCAGTGGAGGGTTCCGGTTAGAGCCTAATCTGATAGTTCCGTCTGCCATTCCTCTTATTTAACTATTTTTGGTGTTTCTAGTGTTAGTTATTTTTCAAATTAAGTATAAACCAGGATGAATGTCAAATCAGAATGAGCTTTATTCATGTCCCAGAGGGCAATTAGTTTTACAAAAAGTTGAAATAAAGAAATTCATTGCCATATTTCAGAAGAGAAACACAGCAGTAGAAGCAACTGCTTCAACCAGTAGGGGTTTAAAAAAGTTCATTAAGGGCACTTGACAACAAATGACCAGGAAACAAACCAATAAAGAAATTTGTTAATTCAATTCAATCTGTTTATATACACTATATTGCCAAAAGTATTTGCTCACCTGCCTTGACTCACATATGAGCTTAAGTGACATCCCGTTCCTAATCCATAGGGTTCAATATGACGTCGGTCCACCCTTTGCAGCTAGAACAGCTTCAACTCTTCTGGGAAGGCTGTCCACAAGGTTTAGGAGTGTGTTTATGGGAATTTTTGACCATTCTTCCAGAAGCGCATTTGTGAGGTCGCACACTGATGTTGGACGAGAAGGCCTGGCTCTCAGTCTCCGCTCTAATTCATCCCAAAGGTGTTCTATCGGGTTGAGGTCAGGACTCTGTGCAGGCCAGTCAAGTTCATCCACACCAGACTCTGTCATCCATGTCTTTATGGACCTTGCTTTGTGCACTGGTGCACAGTCATGTTGGAAGAGGAAGGGGCCAGCTCCAAACTGTTCCCACAAAGTTGGGAGCATGGAATTGTCCAAAATGTCTTGGTATGCTGAAGCATTCAGAGTTCCTTTCACTGGAACTAAGGGGCCAAGCCCAGCTCCTGAAAAACAACCCCACACCATAATCCCCCCTCCACCAAACTTTACACTTGGCACAATGCAGTCAGACAAGTACCGTTCTCCTGGCAACCGCCAAACCCAGACCCGTCCATCAGATTGCCAGATGGAGAAGCGCGATTCGTCACTCCAGAGAACGCGTCTCCACTGCTCTAGAGTCCAGTGGCGGCGTGCTTTACACCACCGCATCCGACGCTTTGCATTGCACTTGGTGATGTATGGCTTGGATGCAGCTGCTCGCCCATGGAAACCCATTCCATGAAGCTCTCTGCGCACTGTTCTTGAGCTACATGAAGTTTGGAGGTCTGTAGTGATTGACTCTGCAGAAAGTTGGCGACCTCTTCGCACTATGCGCGTCAGCATCCGCTGACCCCGCTCCGTCAGTTTACGTGGCCTACCACTTCGTGGCTGAGTTGCTGTCGTTCCCAAACACTTCCATTTTCTTATAATACAGCTGACAGTTGACTGTGGAATATTTAGGAGCGAGGAAATTTCACGACTGGATTTGTTGCACAGGTGGCATCCTATCACAGTTCCACGCTGGAATTCACTGAGCTCCTGAGAGCGACCCATTCTTTCACAAATGTTTGTAAAAACAGTCTGCATGCCTAGGTGCTTGAATTTATACACCTGTGGCCATGGAAGTGATTGGAACACCTGATTCCAATAATTTGGATGGGTGAGCAAATACTTTTGGCAATATAGTGTATATATAGCGCCAATTCACAACATGCCATCTTATGGCACTTTACAGTTCACCAGATCCTACAGTCAAATTGATTAAAAGTTTTCTATCTAAGGAAAAGTGGGGGTTTAAAAAAGAGCATGTGGGGCACTGACCAACAGATGACCAGGGAAACAAATCAATAAAGAAATTATACCAAGACTTTGAAATCCATAACTTAAAAAAAAAAAAAAGAAAAAAAAAAAGCAATTTAACTATTTTCTTCATGGGTAGTTTTGCAACCAAATGGGTTTTGTGTTTCTTGGTAATAGGGTTGTCAAAAGTATCGATACTGAAAAGTTGTATCCGGATACAATACTCGTTTTTAAAAGTATCGATACAGTCGCACCACCAGTGGCACCTAAGCAGTCATTCATCTAGAGTGCAGAATAGAGGACAATAAACTTTCTGAACACTGTGTGATTGAATAATTCTACGCAGTTTTCAGTTTCAGACTTTTTTTTTTGTAAGAACTGCAGCTGCTGAGAATTATTTTTGTTTCTTAACCGGTTTGGCTAGTTTCATTGTTATGTGTGCAAAGCATAGCCAAGGAAGGAACACTTAATTTTAATTTTATAAGTTTTTTTATCAAGCTTGCTTAATATAGTGCACAGCATACAACCTTTACTGTATTTTATTTATTAATGAAAATATTTCTGTAGAATTTCGGATTCTTTGTTTTTATCCTTGTGGTAACGAAAATGGTATCGAGTATCGAATATTTTCCTTAGTATCGGTATCGAGTTGAAAAGTTTAGTATCGTGACAACCCTACTTGGTAAATTCACATTTTTTGGCATTGGTTACAACTTCAGGCTTTATGTTCTTCCCATTATGAAGTCCTCTTTGGCTTCTTGCCATTTTTCTTCCAGCATCGCATCATATTTGGCCCCATTCCCATCTTCTCTAACCTAAGCATTATGCTGCCATTACCATGTTCCACAGCAGGGGTGAGGAACTCTGGAGGATGTACCTTATGAGGGTTGCATGGTTTTTAGTTTACCCACACAGCTCTGTGGATGCTGAGATTCATTATAACCTCACGATGCTGAAAAAACTGACCTCTAACCTTTTCCTCAGTCTTTGCCTTTCTTCTCTAATCTTCTATGAACAAACCTGTTAGGGAATCGCAGTAGAGCTGGATTTATTAGAATAAATGCACGTCATATAAATATGACTCTTTAAATTTGGTCTAAACATCCCAATGACAGACGTTAATATTTCTGTTTTTAACATTAGAAAATGTGTCTAAATACTTTTGAAAGTATAATTATGACGGAGCATTAGGCCCAGGCTAGACATTTATTAAGTTATTTTTTATTTCGAGAATAAAGTCACAGCGAGAATAGTCCTAAAATTACAGGAATAAAGTCGCAACGAGATTAGTCCTAAAATTAGAGGAATAAAGTCCTAAAATTACAGGAATAAAGTCCCAGAATTACAGGAATAAAGTCGCAACGAGAATAGTCGCAACATTACGGGAATAAAGTCTTGGAGCTACGGGAATAGGGTCGTAGCACTACGGGAATAGGGTCGTAGCGCTACGGGAATAGGGTCGTAGCGCTACGGGAATAGGGTCGTAGCGCTACGGGAATAGGGTCGTAGCGCTACGGGAATAGGGTCGTAGCGCTACGGGAATAGGGTCGTAGCGCTATGGGAATAAAGTTGTATTGTATGACAATTCTTACAAAAAGCACCTTCTTCACTAAAATGAGGAATGTCGAGCATCATTGAAGTTATACTTTGGCAACGTTTGGTCAAAGTGAAATCTTTTAGCACCGGCATCAAATCGGGCAGAATGTCAAGGTGGACTCAGGTTGCTGTTTGGTGTTTCTGGCCGTCTCATGCAGGTCGGACCTCGAAACTTTCTTTCCGAAACGGGTGGTGGTATGATGACTTCACTCATGTCATTTTTCATCTTTATTCTCATAATAAGACTTTATTCTCGTGACATTACAACTTTAATAGAATTTAAAAGAACCCAGCCTGGCCCTAATACTCTGTCATATATAATAAATTAGATATGTGGAGGAGGTGCATCTTTTTTCATTTTACACACCATGATGATCCTTGTTTGCTTGTTGGTGAAAAACAGTCGGTGAGTTAAAAATGAGCTCTGGTCAATCTTTTAGGTTTTATACTCCTTATGAAGGCAGTCTTATGTTGTGTTAGGCCTGTTTGACTCCTGAAGGATTGGGTGAAATCAGTGCAGCTCGGACTCTTGGTTTTCAAACCGTCACAGAGATGTGCGGCGGAAAGCGGCTGATGTTGATGTTCAGCTGGCCCCGCCTCTCAGCTCCTCTCTGCCCCTCGTCTCTCAGTGCTTTTCCATCGGTTTTTCCAAAGCTCTATTGATTGTTGCCTTTGTAGCTCGGGGCCCCGGGCCCTTTGGCGTTCGCTGTGACACCACGCCGACACAAATACACTGAGTCATAATGCCGCTGAAACACAGAGCGTGATGCTTTTATGTCGGTCCTTGTTTTTTAGGTTACTGCTTTTTCACTTCTAAAAGTGTTAAATTATTCTTCCCGCTGTTCCACAAAGTATTTGACATATTTTAATGTGTATTCTAAGGAAGCGGGGCATGTTGATCCTCCAATAAGCCATGTTTGAATACTTGAAATCATGTTTATCTAGATGCAAACCTGATGTTTCTGTTTTCTTATTATTTTTCTCCTATTTTTGGGGAGATGAAAGTAATCCATCCTCAGAGTGAATCAGCTGAGTAGTTTATGCCGGTTTTAATCCCAAGGTTTATAAACAGTCACTCATGTTTAATCAGTAGAATAATAAATTAATCTAATGATTTATTGACAAGCTGCTTTTTCCTAAGAGATATCAATTCTTGTATAAAATGATCTTTCCACAAGATTTTTTTTATGTTAAAAAAAACAAAAAGAATCGCACTCACACATCATTGAAAACTGACAAAAACTGATTCAAAACTTCAGAGGTAAAACAATTTCGTCCTAAAAGGCTGGAGTGAGAGAGTTGGTCTATTGTTAAATGTGATATGGAAAATAAAATGCGATTCAGAAGTTGTACCTTTTCTTTTTTTTTCTTATTGCAAATGTATTTAATGGTTAATGGTCCAGCCCTAGTTTGGATTTAGCAGAAATTAGATTTTCCCCTCTAACCCACCGTGGTTAGAGGGGAACGTTTTTTTTGTTTTTGTGGATCAGGGCTTGAACATAGAATTCCACCTAAATAAAAAGGTCTCAGATGTCGGTTTTGTTTGTTTCCAAATGTAAAAAAGTGCAAGAGGGGCCGATGCTGATAACATATTTAA